AATCCATTGTATCAGAAAATTAAACAAAAATCTAAGTGTTCCTTTCACGTGTGCACAGCTGAAGTAAAAATGATGATGATTTTACATGACCAGAATATCCAGATGCAGTGGCTGAAATCTGGGCATCTGTGAAGTCACTAAAGCCATGGTTTGAGGAGACACTGAATTCTGAATCCACTGCTCTTTGCATAGGTGTGTTCAGAATTTTTACAACCTGACCTTGCCTCAGAAGTCTTAATGGTAGACCAGGTTTTCCTCCGAGTTGACCTTATTTTGTGTTGGATCATGTATGGCTTGCCCTCTAGCACATGTTTAAAGCACATAAGCATAAAGATACCAGAAAGCATGAAACTTGCACAAACACTGCATCACGTGTCTATGCCTGATCCAGATGAAATGTGATCTATCAGGTGAACTAGTAGCATATAGTCAGAGTATGACTGGTTCAAACATGGTCTGGGAGTTCTGCCCTTGACTCACATGGACATTCAATTTCTCCCCACTCATTTAATGTATTTAAAATTTAACACATGGATCCAATCAAGTACAGTAAACTACGAAGAAACTCAACAATTTCTTCCTCTCTTCTATTTTGCTGCTCATACTAGATTATCCACAAACCAAATACCAATTTTACAATCACTTTATAATGCTCATTAAATATACAATCAATAAATATATGATCAATGAACATATGAATCATTAGGGCTAAGAATGACATACTATTAAATTTTTAAGGAAACAGAATACTAAAGTGTTAACAATAAAAGAATAGAACTTATTAATAAATAGGTGAAACTGTACCTTGTCTTAGCCAATAATACATTATTCAACCTTGTTTCTTTATCTTGGATTACATTATCACCAGAATCTCTAAAGTCCTTAAGGACCTATGTAAGTATATTTCAGATTACAGATGACTTTTTGTACCCTGTATTTGCAAAATTAATGAAATTTTATGCTAGGTATGATTTGTTCTTTGGTGTACAGATTCTGCTTAGAAATTACTCGCACTTTAAGAATCTTTTTGAACATTAGAAATATTAACAGTTAAACTCACCCTGTTTATTTTCATGGAAGTGCTTCCACAACAGACAGAAAATAATGGCTCTTAAATTCAAGCTAAGAAAATTAATCTGAAGCTTCACTGGGAATTGTGAGAAGGATTAAACTACATTTTCTTTGCCTATGTTCAAACTCAAAAAATGGCATACATCTTCTGAAAAAGTCACATTTAGTTCCCAAGAATCCCACGGGTATATTTACTGCTGATAGAGAAGACGTAGCAAGGAAAACCTAAGAGTTTTACAGTCCAACCTGAGCTCTCCTGAGGGAACAGCACTTTCCCTGTTAGGTAATGGGAAAGTATCTGCACTGTCTTCTCCATACCCATTCAAGTTGCACTGAGCTCTGAAGCCACAGTAACTGGCAATTGCTAAGAACATAGTCCAAAATATCCAGTTTCTTCAAGGCAAAAAACCTTCTGTCCTCTGGTCTTTACAAAATACTAAAACTCTGAAAGAATAGCACCTGGATTTTCAAATTATACCAGTGTGGGAATAAGTTCATCTAAAGCATAGACACCTTTATATTGACTAGGGAGCTAAACTAATCACCATACTTAGAGAGGTCCAGTTATCTAGTTAGCTTTACAATGCTGTTGGCTTTACAACCTGGTGGGTGGCTCTCTAGGCTACACTGACCACACTGGTTACATCTCCACAAACTACAACAGGAGTTTAGACACGGAATACACATACAGACAGCAGCGTGTAGGCTGCTACATTTTGGTGTCTTAATGGGAACCCATATACTCCTGCATTCAATGTTTTCTGTTTATTTATGAGCTGTTCCTATAATTCTTGTTTGTGTCAATCTGATGTGACCAATCCACAATATTTTCTGTGAAATGGAGAAAGAAATGAGGAGTGCAGGGATATTCACAAAATATTTGCAAAGGTACTAATGCATATGTATAAAACATAATCTCAGCAAAAACTACATTATTTTAGCAATGAGGTGAATACTTTTTCCTAATTATGGAAAGAAAAAGTATTCTGAAAATCATCTTCAATGTACAAAAAGAGCAAAAATGGAGATAAACCACTCTAAATAGAGTTATTGTACCATGACCCAAAGTTGATGGGGTTTTTACCAGGAGTGACATTTTGTCCTCAAAAACTAATAGATTAAATACCACTCCACAAGTGCCTTTAGTGAGCAGCAAAGGTTTATTTCTCTGAGCCAACAAAAAGAATACACACTAGGAAGTCATTATAAAAATGGATATATAATACACTAATTCCTTGACTTGCATATATAAGTCTTGCAAATGCCATTACTCCATGTTAAATTAATTTAGGTTGATTTAATCAAATGAATGCACTGGATAACTAATATAAATTAGAATTTCCTGAGCCATTACTTTCTGTTTTTGAAAGCCTGAAAGCTTACACTGATTTTACTGGCTACTTGTAACTGGCAGGTCATTTGTAGTGTAGCAAAAGCAAACCGCTTCAGGATGGGTACAATAAATTTAATGTATTCATCTGTGATATTTAGCTCACAAAAAACTTTCTCAGGTCAAGAGAAGTTTCTTTGTGACCATGGTATATTGATCATGACATACTAGATCATATATTCAGGTAAAAACTAGAGAAAAAAAAAAGCAATACAGACTAAAAGAGACAGTTTTTAAGTAGGATATTTGTAGTCTGTTCGAAATTGTTAGGGTTTGCTTTTTTAGTTAAAGTTATGTTCTATAGGCAGGGCTAGGTGATAGTGTTAGTTGCAGCTCAAGAATTTCTTTGAAAGCACTTGGGATACTACAAAACAACAAAACAAAATTTAGCCTATTATAACTAAATTTGGCTTCATTTTTTTGTCTTATAAACACAGTTCCTATGCAGAGAAATTCTGCTCATTTTACTCAGACAAATACTTTTCAATAAGCTTTCTGGTGTTTGTATGACCAAGCCTGAATCAGAGTTTGCTAAGCAAACTGAATAAAGAAGACATCTATATTTATCCTTTATATCGAAGCTTGGAAGTGGGAAGGTAGTTAGTTTACAATCCACTGGATTCAGTGACAAAGTCTTTCCTGTTATGTACACATAACAGTTCGGAGTTCATTCCCTGTGGATGTTCCCAAAACCCTTGGCACAACTCTGAGAGGTAATAAAGGAAAAATCTTGGTTTTTTGAAGACCTTAAAAACATGTTTACTGAATATCAGTGCTGTCCAGCCAGCAAAACCTACTAGTAAATATACAGTCACTGACACACATTATACCTGGGAGTCTGGAAGAGAGATACTGTCTACCACAACTGTTGAAAACAACGTTTTTAGCACCTAGATTGATGGTGTCATTTTACACATACAAGAGAAGATACAGCAGAGAGTGCAGTAGTCCCTTCTGGTACATCAGGTACACCTACAAATTACAGCAAGTTTGGCTACATAGTGTCTCGATTTACTTCTGCTAATCTAGGTATGGCACTACAGTTGTGAGCAAGTCCTGTTAGCAAGTCCAACACCATGCTTTTGATGCTAATGCACCATGGGCTAGCAGTCATAAGACAGATAAACTATGCTTCTGGTTTGTCTTCTTTTGTGAATATGTCTTTAGATGGACTGGAGGTAACAAATTCCCAGAAATAAACCCATCTTTTATTTTGTGTGTGTGCGTGTGTGTGTGTTTTGAAGATTTGGCTTCCAGCAGCTGCAGTGCAAACTCAAGAAGCCTTGCTTTAGATCAAGTCTCTAGTACTGTAAAAATTAAACACTCCTAAAAGTGACTAATTTCTATGCATGAATTTTACACAACAGAAATCCCAAAAGAATTCTGTTCTTGCTTACTCTGGCTAAAGAAATGACAGAATAAATCTCCAGCATGAAAAGTATTTGCTTCAAACTGTTGTCTACACTGTGTTTAAGTACCTTCTTTTAAGTATCTTCTGAAGAATCAAAGAGAGGATCAAGTATTAATAATTATTGCTCTCATGTTAAAAATAGTGTTTATAAAGGAATCTGTAAACGTCTTAGTAAGGATATGCCTTGCTTTCTTTCTTATGATGACTGTTTGTCTTTTCTTAAATCCTTTCAGGCCTCAATTCAGTAAAATACTTAAGCACAGTACTTAGTGTAAAGTATAACTTCAATTTCTACTGGATTTCAAGCATGGTTTTGAGTGATTTATTGAATATTAGCCTGCATCATTAATGTTTCTTTTCAAATTCAATATTTTTCCAGAGAAAAAGAAACGAGGAAGATTCTCTAAAGTTTATCCCACTGAAAGGAAGAAACAGTGATGAAGGCATCAAAATTTATAATCCACCAAAGTACTGAATGTATCTGAATATTATAGAGACTTCAATCTTAGGATGTTCACCTGACTTTCCTAGTCCAGGTCTACAAAGCTCAATTATGAAGAGTGGTGAAAATAAGTAAAACCAGAATTCAACAATTATTTTTAAAAAGCAACATCAGTAATTCACTCTAAGCTGGTGATCCATCTGTAAATAACAGGTGGCTGATGTAGGAAAAAGCTGATAACACTGCCTTTCCAAATCCTGTTTGCTGGCAACCGGTTTCTGATGGAGTTTGCTTTTTTCCAGTTTGCCTCCTAAGATTTACCGCCAAACAAATGTAACCCACACTGTCATTTTACAAACACCTTCTTACTACACATCACCCAAAAAAAAGGAGATAACAAAGAGGCAGGGAACTAAAGAGGATGCAAAAATTAAATGTCAAACCCACTAACAGGTGCAAATAGATGTAAGCCAGAGACTTTAGTGGACTAGTATCATTTTAGGCAAATAAAGTCTGGACAAAAACACTCCTCTCTAAAAAGAAGTTATAATGCTTACTAAGTCATCATCATGCAAATCATTAAGTCACTATCCTACAATGAGAGTGGAAGCATAATTGTTATTAAAATGGCTTCATGTACGTCTTCACAGGAGCTTTACAAAGTAAGGGTAACATAAGTTTCTTACCTGAGCTTTTATTGGTTTTGTTTTGTCTACTCTTTACTTGTTCAGTCCACAGTGTAGGATAACGAGAAGCTATATCTAGAAAAAAAAGGCAATAGAAAATAACTTATAAATGTTAACATTTTTTAAAGGTTACTAGCAACTGAATAAGTGGCTAGTTTTATAGACACATAGGTCTAAAAGAAAAGGTACACTGGTTTGTATTAGGACAGTCAAAACTTTTATACATACAAAGGCATGAATAGTCCCTTCCTTATCCTATTTGTACAAAAGGTTGAAAAAAAACCACTTTTAGACTAAAATTATGTTAATTAGAATAAAAATCTCCGAGTGTAGACCCAAAATATATAATAAATTCAGATTCTGCAAGATTTTCAGAGCGTGGTAAGGCAGCCATAACATAAAACTATTATTGCATTTAGGCCTTGAGCTTTACATTTACTGAGCACCAAAATTCTGAATAGGCAAGTAAGCCTGACAAAACATCAACCTTAACAGTAATACTACTAGGCAATATGTTGAGAGTAGAATTTACCCTTTAATTTCTTTATTTGAACATACAATTTTAACCTGCACTTTGGCTCAAGTTTAAAACCTCTATCTGCCCTCAGTAGTGACAACTAAATTTGCTGATGCTGGTCTCCACAGCAAAAGTGTCATCTCAAATCAATCTCACAGAATTCACTGCTTGTAAGTAAAGATTCTATTGTGCTTGTTGTCTTTGCTGTTCCTGAAAAAGGTACAGATGCTTGCAATTTCTTGCAACAACCCCAGCAATTGTAAATACTCTTAAGGTAGCATTCGATGTTGTGGAATATGGTCCCTAATTACATAGTTTAGTACCACACTGTTAAGTTTGCTCACCTTCTTCATCACCTTGAGGCTGAGTCTCCAGTGCAGGAGCTGAGGCATCATCTGAATTCAGAATGGAAAAGATTTGCAAGGAGACTACAATTATGAGAGTAAGCTAAATAAGTGTACATACATGATTGAAAATAATGATTTGCACATAGCCCCGGCCAATAAATAAACAATAATTTAAACATTTTTTATAGGCACTACACAGCATAGATTTATTACATATATAGACTACATTTTACAAATGGATGGGTTTTTAGGTTGTGGTTGATGAATTTATTGCAGGGTCTTTCATGATGCATGATGTGATCAAGTTGCTCTCTGGACTGTAATTCTTCATTTCTAATACTGCACATTGATACTTATAGATTTTAGTAATAAATCACCATTTATAAAGAAGTAATTAGATAAATGTATAGAAGAAGTAAAACCTGTGAAAGCAAAAACAGTCTGGGGAGAATGAGTGGCTGCAGACCACTGGATGCCTTAAAATAAAAGGGCTTTTTAGCACAGAAGGATCTATTTTAAGAGTCAAGCAGATTCTATAAGCAGGATTCGCAGATTTTATAAGTAAGGTTCACAGATTATATAACCAGACTATTGTTTGCAAAACCGTTATCCTCTGGTCATCCTTCTCCATCCATCCACTACCAACAATTACTGCAAGAAAAGAGGGAGGAAAAAATTACAAAAATGACAAGAAGATGTGAGAAATCTTAAGGTCAGTAAAACACAGTGGACATAGTGCTGGAAAAAAAAAATCAACAAAAAATTATTTAAATTAACATTTGCTAGGAAGAACAGTACCAAGATCCATCTTTACCTTATTATGTTATTGCTATTTAAAATTATTGACAATATTGGGTCAATATGACTCAGGAGCCCATGCTAGTAGAGATTTTCCACTCATTACTGTTTCCTGTAGCATGAAGCTAACTCCAAGACTAAGGTAAACAGCAAATGCAAAGATTTTATTACTATTTCTTGCAAGTTCACAATTGGATCTTGGACCAAAATAGTTAGGAGGTTGTTTTCCTGACATTTTCATAGAAGGTAGAATCAAAGGCAACTGAGAAGCTTCTTCTGCCATATAGCCTTAACAGGGTAAAAGAGAGCAGCAGTTTTAAGGCTAACACACTATCTCTTTCCATTTCTTCTTGCTACTGCCATTCAAAAGAGCCTACTGTTCTCTTTGTTGTCTGCATTTCTGTTCTCTTAAATCTGTGTTGTCCTTATGCAAATCATTCAGAGGATTTAGGGGCACTCCGACCTTCACCTCTAGAGGTCACAGCCTACTACACAGCAAATATAGATACCAAGTAAATATTGATAGCAGGTAAAACTGAATTTCCATCCAAGGAATAGTAACCTCCATGTTTCTCACAAAACCAAAGCATCAGCAGCAAGAACTTATTTTCAGTGTAAAATGATTTAACCAAGGCATAAAAACATTTAAGAGTGCTCATTCTTCATGTCCACACAATGGCAGGGTTCTTTGCTCCAATACCATAAAAGACTGACACTTCTCAGTAGTTTTGCTGGCATTTTTGTGGTGTCCTCTGGGTGGTGGAATAAGACCATTGATTAATTTCAGAGAGGCCATCGAGTATCCTAGTGTACTGAAAATCAAGACATATATTTAAATCATCAATCAGTATGTGATTCAGAAAACCCAGAATTCCAAAGGGTAATTTAGGGTAGGCAGATATTACCAAGAGCCAAGCCAGAAACTCAGACCTGCACTTAAGTGACATTTTTCAGATCGCCTTTTGGTACACAATTTCAGTTTGTGACACATTTGGTCTTATGTTATTACCTGAAATTCAGACATAATGTGCAACTTCAACTATTATCAGGCCAATCAAAATTGGCCTCCTGAACTTTGTTCAAGGAGCATTTAAAACAGTTTATCAATTTTTATTTTTTTTTAACTCAACAGATATTTCATGATTTATATGAACCAGAGATCTCACAGACTAATTACATAGGCCTTCCTGGCTTGCACAAGCATACCAATCCATATATGCATATATTCAAACAGAAACCTGATTAAATTCTGTTTGCTGTCGGCGTTCAGTTACCAAGAACATAGTCCTGCAGTCAGCAAAGAATCAGAAAAGAGGGATGTGATCCCAACTCTGACACCTATGCTTTTCAGAGTTTGAATATTTTCCTTGGAGAGAGGAGAGAATTGTGGGGCCAGTGGAGATACTTGAGGAATTAGCTTTTAAGTTTCATTTCTGTTCAGTTTAATGTTTAAATTTACAAACACGCAAAGAAAGCTCCTGAGATCTAATATCTGTAGCTGGAAATTTTCTTTCAGTATTGGAATACCCAGAGAAAGCAAGGTGCACAACTGTAACAGATGTGGCTCACCAGGTCCATATCTATGAGACATCTTGGTGCATGAGACTGTCACGTTAAGTGTATTCCGCCTCTTGAGTAGAGTTCTCCAGACCACACCTTGGAGGTCTGGAGCATGTCTTTGGGAGCAGTGAGAACACTGTGAACCTGCCTAAGTTTGCTGGGCTACAATATGGGCAGGTACTCCCACACAGGCATCCCTGGTTAGTTCACTGGAACATGCAGAGGAAAGATAAGCAGAGAGTTTCATGGTTATTTATACCCTTGCAAGCTGAGCTACAAAATATGTTTTACTACACTGATTGTGAAGCTGAAGCACAGGTAGACAGATGATTCTGGTCTCTACTCTGTGACAGTCTCTAAAGAGTTTGAGATGTTTCTGACAACATGACTTTATTTAAACCATAAGGCAGTGGAAGAAGGGTGGAGAGAGGAAGACAGCAGCATTTGAGAAGCACCAGGGACCACCTGGGAACCCTATCAGAGGCCCCTTGTGCTGCAGGCTTGTGCTGGACAATAAAAACAGGGCATGAGTAAAATGCAGTCGTGTCACTTGAGACACAAACAGATGTGGTGAGAAGGGAGATTTGATAAATTCTGTTCATTTCCTTGTTCTGTGACTGTTCATTCAGGGTTCAGCAACTCAGCTGTCATGGCCACAAACAAAAATAAAGGATTCCAGAGAAGCTTTATATATGGAATAGTTCATTCAGGTCAAAGCTCAAAATGAAAGTTCTGATCTAAAGTAAATAGGTAACCTAAGGGTAGTGGAACTCACAGTGTGTCTGGAAATACATGAAGGAACAATTTTCCAGCATTTTGTAATTATTAGCTTTTAAAGAAGTACTCATTTTTTTAACCTAACAGCACTATAGTTTATTTAAATATTGGATATATTGCAATACTGCAAAAGTTCCTGTAAAAAGATACTTGAATTATGTTTACACTGTACCAAACAGATAGACATTAACATTAGAACAAAAATGAGTAGCTTCTTTAAAATTAATTTATGCAGTGTAACTGACAGAACTATTCAGTATTTAAAATTGTTTCAAGTGTTTGGAGAGTGTAAGCTTTAATTTTGTTTGAAGCATAGACAGTTCTCTCATTTAAATCTACCAGCTATGTTGGATGCACATTAGATTTTGTCCTTCCAACAAGATATACACCATGGTCTGTATCTAACAACAACAATTATCTGGTCATAAAGACAAGACATCAGATGAATTAATCGCAATATAGAACAAAGTGCTGGGTCCAAGATGACTCAAGCACCAATTGATATGGAAATACACTGAGGACTCCGTTTCCCAAGATTTTGATACTGCAGAATGATATCTTTATCAAACAGACAGAATAATCTCTCCTCCAGAACAAGAAAACAGTATGGGAAAATATTTCAGAGTATAGCTATGGGAAGGAAAGTTACCTTCCAAACAGTACAGAAGTGAAAATTCCATAGGACTGAAACTAGAAAAATATAGTGTCTATGTATATATATAAATACATGCACACATATATATGTTTATACTCATAAGTTTACTAAATTTCTACAATGCAAAAGTAAAATTAATAACATGTATGCATATATATATTATATATGCAGCTATAATACATCCCAAATATGTATTGATAATTTAGATCTATGTAAAATCACAGGAGTTTACCCAAAAGCTATTTTAGTTTTTGTTTAACAGCCAACTAAGATATTTACCTGTTTTGCCTGCACCTTCTCGTTGTGGCAGCTTCTCACTCACTGAACCTGCAATTGGAAAAGGGAATTAGTCGAAAAATATTACTTTTTCTTTTAATATGTTATTTAAGAAACACAGTTCAGTTCTAATGATTCATTTTTGTATATTATAATCAATAAATATTAGCAAACTCTTCCCTTGCGCACCAGAGGTTTTAGCTTTGCCTGACTTCTACATTTGTGTACGATCCGTACCCTGCCAGACTCTACTTCCTGGCCACCACAGGACTTGAGAAAGAGATAACGTTAAACACTACACAGACAAGTGCAGAACATGCTCACATGCTGCAGAGTCACCATGTCCCTTCCCCACTGCCCCAGCAAGGGCAGGTTCTGTAGTAAGAAGCATCACCCCAGAACCACCCCCTCACGCTCCCTCAAAGTCTTGATCACACACCTCAGCTGCTCTGAGGGGCTTCTTCAGCCTCTAGCCCAGTCCTGGCTCAGATTAAAAACTGCCCCTTTCCGCCTTAAACAACTCAAACAAAGCCTTGTGGAAATCCTATGCTGATGTGGGTAAGTACGTGTGTTTGCTGGGGCGGCACAAACACAGCATCTTAGTCTGAGTTTGAACCTGAACTGTTTTCAGACACATCCCCAGAGCTGTGGCCCTTAGGAAAAGAGACAGCAGATGTGAGAAGGAAGTCCAGAAGATTAGAAGAGATGGGTTTTAACAGCCTATTCTACCAGCCTGGACTCCAACCAGTCTTGTTTTCAGGTCATCAAAAAATGGAGAATCTACTAGTTTTCTTAGTAGCTTTTTTCAGGAGGCTTTAGGTTTTAAAACGGAAATACTTCCTTATTTCTGGGTTATGTGTCATTATTACACCTGTTTTTATGATTCTAACTCCTAGACACTTTTTAACAATTTATTTGTCTCTGTTACATTAAAAATCACTTTTAAAAGTGGTATTTTTCTCTCTGAAGAGCCCATGTGGAGTAATCAAATTTAAAAAGCGTGAAGTCTATAAATTCTTAACACATAATCTCTTCTTACATACACCTGCTTTAATGAAACAATAAAAAACCCCAACACACATCTAGTACATGCTTGTATGTGAAATAATTTAGTTGCCCTAATTTTCCTAATTTATTCCCTTTGAAATAATTATGTTCACTGTGTTTAAAACAAAGTAAAAAAAATCTCAAACCTTGTAGCACAATAAATCTGTTTTAAAAGGACAATTTAAATAAGAGAACCCACTAAATCACAGGCTTTGCCTACCATGCTGAACCAACGGTTACTTCAGCAGGAAATTTAGACAAAGAATCTGCCAGAGGGTAGATGCCTAAAGTCACAAACCTGTTCTGATGATTTTAAAGCCTCTATAAAAGAATATTGGCAATGCAGCCAAGCTGGTATTACCTTCTGAAGGATTCACCATATCAAAAATATTCTTTTTTAGACATGTTTCCTTTTGTGTCAATAGTGTATTTGTATTATATTACCTTTGGGTCACCAGAAATTCAATATACTTAGGGATGCATCAGTATCAAGTCAGGTAGGAAAAATAAAATTGTTGTCTTGTAGGAATTATATCCAAAGGTGTTTGGGATAGTTTGCTCAGAAGAGATTGTAATACTAATCCATATTATTTACTCTGAAGAAGAGGCAGATTTTTCCATTTATGCTGAAGCCAGTAGATCTGAGTTTTTTGGTGCTTGGCTTGCATTTGATAAAAGGCTCAGCTTGAATTCAAATAAGATGTTCCAGTTTTCGGAAGTACTACATACAAAATTACAGGTTTTTCTAATTGCACTAAATACCAGTGATCCAATCTTTCCTCAAATTTCATCCAGCGACAATTAACTCTGTAGTATCTGAATTTCATTTTGATTCACAGGCTTATAATTATAATTTTCTTGTAAATCCAGAGATTTTAGGCCTGATTCTCACCCACACTAAAGCATTTAAACTACTTTTTAGTTTGTTGACTAGAAATGAGGTCTCAGCAGGGGGGAATATGTGTGATGAATGCCACTAATAGCCCCCTGCACAAAAAACAGCATGTTAAGTAAAGCCCCAGTTTGGCACCAGCGTTGTCTTTCTATGTACATTCAGCACTACTAGTGTAAGTTGAACTCTAAATTCAGTTCATGCCTAAGTAATTTAACATATTGGTGAAACATACATAATATTCCACATCTTAAACCAAAAGGAGAAAAATCTTTCCAGATACATTCAGGTTTCTCCCTCTTTATGTGAAATGGTGAGAATGACTATGCAATATTCATGTACAGCCAGGGAGAATTAAGTTCTTTTTTCTGGGCTCTCATTTTTTACCCTAAATTTTCATGGAAAATTAATAACTGGGGAAGAGAGTGGCATTTACAAAGACTAACTTTATCATAGTGAATCTCATTTCATTAAAAAATTAGACTAAAGCTAAGCAAATTAGGTTTACTGGGCTAACATTTTTTAACAGTCTTAGGAATTTAACAAAAATATTCACAGAATTTCCTACAAAGGAAAACATGTGCCCTTCACATAGTTTCACCTGAAATTTTCAATTTATGCAGCATAAACAGTTCTTGTTGTCTCCAAAATCAAGGTAAGGAGGAGCTATTGCATTTTTATCTTTTTTTTAACCATTTTCTGAATATATTTATGGCAGAAATACTTCTAGCTTCAGTGGTGATAGGAAGTTGCATTTGCAAGTTTTTAGGAAATTATATCTTCAATACTCTTGATAAATCCTCACATTTGCTGCAAGGCAAGAAACAAAGGCAATTTCTAACTTATCTAAAAGTTTGGCTATGCAATTGGCTTCCAAGTTTTCAGTACATTGTAAGCAACCAAATCACCACATAAATAAATATGCTATGGAATGGGAGAGGGCAAGGAGAGGTATTAGATTCAGCAGTATTACTTTAATGAAGAATTTAGTACCATTCTAGCTTGTAATTTGCTTAGCCATCTATCCATTTATGACCATGATTAATTTAATTTCCTTTTTAAAAAGAAGATATATTCATGCCTTAGTTTATTGCAAACCTCACAGTTCCACCTAGTTTTGCTCTAACAGCTTCTGAGGCACAACTCCCTTCCAGGGAACATGATATGAGTTTTGTGGTTTGTGATTTTAGCATATCTATTTTCAGTTGTTCTGAGCATACAAGACTGGGCTTTAAAAGAGAAGGTGAAAGTCTATTATTCTCTAGTTTAGATAATGATTTCTGATCTCCTACCAAGGAATATTTGATATGTAATAATTGAATGAAGATATCAAGATAAGTAAACTTCCCAAGCTATCCTTTATCTCACCTATAGGTGTATCTGAATGTGAATGTGTATGTATAGACAAAGTACTGTGTACGGGGAAAGAATGATCCAAGGATGGATATTTTTCTCCAGTTGACAAAAACAATATAATGTATATTTTAAAAGTTCATTCCCTTCCCAAATATATTTGTTTTCATCACATTATCTGATCATAAAACTATACAGGCTGGAAGAGTTCTGAATTTCTAAAGGGAAATTCAGGCCATAAAACATGATTATGTCATAATCAAAAGGCAGCAAAACTTCTTTACAGGGAAATAAACGTCTCAATACCTCTGCAATCTCACTGGCAGAAGCTCAAAATAGTTAATAAGGCATAAAACCCCAACAATAGGCAAACACTGTATTTTCCAATGATAATTTAACACCTGCTTCTCAACTTCTGCCCCATTTCCCAGGACTCAGTGACTATGGAATTTCTGTAGTTCCCTGAAGTGCTGATAACAGAGATGGAGAGCTGTAAAAATGTCTTTTTTTATGTCTGGTGTTCTTTAGTGAAAGTACTAGGGGACATTCATCATTTTTAAGGAGCTTTCTTTTAAATGCTGTCATGGGAATGTGTTTGATTTACTCTCCTTCTCCCCATTGCTCCTGCAATAGTGAAGATTATTTCCATGGAGCAGAATGGCATTCTGGGATTTATCATGTGCGTCTTAGCAGTACCAAGTGTTGGTGTGGGAAAAACTGGAAAGTATGGAAGAAGAGCCTCTTTCAGGTAAAGATGTAATTAAAGCAAAGGTTCACATAAAACAGTTGAAGAGTCCTGTATTTTTCAATGCTGCTTACGACTTTCATCCTTCCACATATTTTTCTCTAGCAGAAAAGACAGCTTAAATAAGAGCAACCAAAACAAACCAATGAGCAAAAAATGGCTCGTACAGCTATTGTTGATGCACAAAAAATATACGATACTTTTCAGACTTGAGCAAACTTTAGGAACCATCACATTATGCAGCTAACCAATATTAGCAGTTAGAGAAATGTAGAGACTGTTCCACATATCTGGTATCACACTATAAATGTGAAGCATGGATAAGAGATGGAACTAGTAAACCAAAGTCTTAACTGCCCAACCTAAATTCTGCTGCGTATTTCCTCTATTAAAATCCAAACTCTTACAGGCTGCCATGATCTTCTTTCTTATTTCTGGGTATTCACCAAAGTCAAAGGTAGTTCCACTGAGAGAAAACGAAAGGCAAAAATTATCCCATAATTTAGGAATAGCACAGTTGATTGGATGTATATTTGAACCTTATCTGAAGTTACTGAAGAACTAACACAGAACCGAAAATTAACTCAACATTTTCATTAAAACAAGGAATTTTCCCACATTCCATGGTAGCACATTACCAATGAGAAGATAATTACAAACACCTCTTGAATGTCTATACACATTCTCCTCTTAAGGGTAGAGGTGGCAAAAGTGATCCTGGGAGAAAAAGGTATGGTGCATGTAAATTGAAATATTTGCATAAAAGTTTTTAAAATAACTATAGCAACAAGCCTACAGAATACATGGAAGCATGTGAAAATGCAGAAACATGCTGGTGTCAGGATGCCACCATTGCAGGAGGTCTGCCTGCAACATCAAAAATAGCTAGGTAATTTCTTCATTGAGGCTAGAAATGATGCAGTGTGTTGGACTGACTAGGGACAACAGTATTAGAAGAAATGGCATTCCTAAAATACTAGTTAAAACAGGAGTACATCTACTTAACTTCAGTTGAACCACTGAAGTTTTGATCGTAATTCCTGTGCGTAGTCGTACTAAATACAGGAACGGGAATCAGTGGTGATCTGGAAAACATCAACATTCTTCGGGAAAAAAAACCTGAAAATTCCTTATCCTAAACAGATGGCAATTTTGAATATATAGAGGGAAATGGGAGAAGGGTGCAATTGTGTATCAGAACTTTCATTCTGCAATATAAGAACAAAGTTTTGCCTTATTATACCATAATAAGGTTCTTTCTGAGAAAATCTGTAGCTGTCTTTTCTGTTGAATGAGAAGGTTTTTCCAGATCTATCAAAACTGATTTCTTAGCCAATACCACTGCAAAATCCCCTAGCATTTCAAGTCTTACTTCCAAACTCTGCTGTAGCTGGACTTCTTTCCTGAGGGACAAAGGAGAAGTAGTGAACAGTAAAACACTGATACAAGAAGGGGAGGAAATGTGCAGAGGTAATCCCACAGGGTGTCATAACAACTGAAAAATTACCCACAGTCTTCCATGGAGCAAAATCAGACTCTGCATACTCACCTGGGCCCTGAAGTAGTTTATTTATCTCTGAGCTACTAAATTCAGTTTGAGTGCTACTATGACCTTCACCTTAGCATTTCTGTAAAATGTAGAGATAGAATAATTCTCATATTAATCTATTAATTAGATTGGAACTACACTGCAGCTTCTCCTCAATAATATCAGGTAAAAATAGAAAAAGTGAAAGTATAGTAACACGACAACATTTTGAGCCAAAAATAGCGGCATGTGTTATGAAACATCTGAAAAACAAGTATTTATTGAACTTTCAGCATCAGCATAGACCTTTTTTCACTGATGTCAGTGAAAGGACAGGAAGGAAGGAAGCTACAAATGGATTCTGCAGAGAAAGTACTGAAGGCCTGCTTTCAGAAAGCCCTGGCTATGGGCATGTAAAAGCACCTCTACTCAAAATTACATTGAAGCACAAAAGCATTACTCTAGCTATAGAATCAAAGATTTATAGAATAGTTTGGAAGAGACTTTAAAGCTTATTTCTTTCCAGCCTCCCTGCCATGGGCAGGGATGCCTTCCATTACAGCAGGTTTCTTGGAGCCCCATCCAACCTGGTCTTGAACATTTCCAGGACTGGGGCACCCACAACTAAAGAAGACATATCCATGTGTCTTCTGAAGATGCAAACCAGTCATAAGCAATAATTACACTAAAATGAATGTGCATTTACCTCTGTTTTAAGGTTTCTGAATATTTTATATTATTTTTCACAACGGACTTTTTGTGACAAATTTGACTTTTTGTGGACAAAATTCCACAGTGACTTTTCAGACTGGATCAAAAGGAATATTCTGAAGAGTATTCTTTCAGGCAAAATGCATGGAAGATTCAGTAAGTCATTTAAACAAGAAAGACCTTAAAAGTGAAATTAACATTTTATAAACTTTATTGAAACTTTCTCAATGGTCTCTACCTTCCTCCATCTATTTATTAAAAACCTCAATGAATGATTGAAGTAGATCAGGCCAAATGAATTCCCTCAAAGGCCCTAATCCACTCTCTTTTTCACTGTCATTCTCATTACAGGATTGACTTTTTAAAGCTATTTCTCTGGCCTTCTGACAGAGAATGGTGCTGCAGCACAAACAGTAATGCAATAGATAGAGAGCAAATATTTGTAGAGCTATTTTTGTTCAATTCTGTCAATCTCAAGAGAGGTCAACAGCAATTCTGGCAACTGTTCATACTCTTGGGATTTATATTTATTTTCAATTTTAATGAAATAGGGTCAGAAACAAATCCCTAAAAGACTGAACCTGTCTGCCCTGAGGAAAGACAAAAGGCAGCATGCAAGGTAGTGCTTTCATTATGCATTCATAAGACTGATTTCATTATGTTCTTAATGCTTTTTTTCTTATTGTCCTAATTTCTCCTCTGGATTTGGTCATTTATGGAACCTGTTGTAGGAGTTCTTTCACTGGGCTGTGCTACAAACACATATTCCCACTCTGTATTTTTTGTTGGCACGGGTTTTTTTTCCTGTACTCTAAATATCTGAAAAAGGCAAATTCCTCTGAAATTTTTTTGCAATGAGTTTATGTGCAAGAGAGTTTCAACGTAAAGTACTGTATCCATAAGTCAGTTGCATGATTTCATATATGGACACATAAATATGGTACAAATCATAGCGAGGTTTAGGGTGACGGTGACCTTAGATTTCATGCAGGTCTACATGAAAAGCCAGACCAACTTTCTCAGAGCCTCATCCAGCTGAATTTTGCCACTAGAGATGGGCCATTCACCAGCACCTGTTTCTGTGCTTAACCACTCTTCCAATGAAGAATTCTTTTCCTTAAGTCTAGTAAGACACTACAGATAAAATCTGCTATTCATGACACACTGTCATATCCTGGCCAGCCAAACAAGATTTACCTGGGCAGCGGGGAGTTTTGTGGGCCACAGCAGTACCACTGATAGGACGACCATTGGCAGTGACACACCAGCAGTATCCAGTGTAACTATGGCACTGAACCTGTCAGAAACAACATGAACCATGTGCAGCTCGTCAGATATCCCACAGCAATCATACATGTGAGTACAAAAGACTAATCCAGCAAACTATACTGACAAAACCTAAAACAGGAAACCAAATTGGACCTAATCTCAGTCCCACCTATGATTTTTTAGCATACAACATATTTCAAGCAAAGTGTGGTAGGTCCTTCAGAATCAAATTGAAGAGAAAACTATTGAAATATGTGGTTGTTTACGCCCTATCTTAAATCAGTGAGGTGCAGGTGTTATAAAGACCTCACAAGGAAGTTTCTCAAGGGACACAAAAACTGTTCCTGAAACAAGCAATCTTGAGGTTTTTTCCACATAAAGAACATATTGTTCCACCCACTGAAGGAGCATGACAGAGTGCTTCTGCCAGCATTATTCATGTCTCAAGCTGTCAGAAAGGAAACTCTTGGAATTCCACTTAGAAATCAATTGCATTATATTTCCTAAGGGCCAACATCACTTTCCTCACTGTCTTCTGCACAAATCCACAACCGAAATGCAGTACAGAGGTGGCAGAAAGTGATCTTAACTGGAATATGTATCACAGGCTAAGCTTCTAACTGTGTCCCTTCTGAATTCCATGATCTAAGCTAAGTAAATTAGTCTCAGAACATGTGCTTGGAAAGAAATTCAGTTGAGAATAGGGAAGAATCTTGTATGATTCATGCTTTAGCACTAAGACATGGACTCTGATCGCAAGATTTCTGGTTCAAATCAGGAACAGATCAGAAATTCCAAGTATTTTCCCATCTAACGTGTATTCAGGGGGCTGCAAGAATGACTCAGTTGCCTCATCCTAGAAGAACAGGGAAGGTATTACACAAACAATAGTAATGTTTGGCTCTTTTGCTGGCCAACTCTGAAAAAAAGAACAAGGACTCTGCACAAAACATGGATTTTCCTTCATTTTTTTTTGATGTCAGTGTTAGCACAAATTACATTTCTCTTCATTGCATTCGTCTCTTCTTTACCCTTTTCAAACATACATGTTCTGACTTTACAGCCATGCAAGATACTAAATGAAAAATTTTCAACCTGACTATATGTGCCATCATCATTGCATTCTGGGATAAACACTTGTTGAAATTCTTTACGAGCTTGTTCCTGGGTATACTTCCTCTCAGCCACACATCTGGAAACATCTAAAGAAAAGAAAAAGACAAGTCAGTTGAATGATGCAATATGAAGAAAAGATGGCTGACCATCTATATTCTGAAAAAGGAAGAGGGCTAAGAGATTCATGTAAAGAGAAACAGAATTTTAATCAGTGAAAATGTACCAACACTTGCATTGTTTTTAGGGAAGAAAACCAGTAAAGGACAATAATTTCTGGACAATAATCCATAACTGGGAAACAAAATGGAAAGATGTCTAGAGATATAACCTTTCGGTTCTAAATGCTGCCAAAGAGCAGAAGCCCAAACAGGGTTTCTCCTCTTAATTTAACACAGCAATAGCTGCCACACTGCACCCATTGCACAATATTCTTTCAGAGTTGATGGCAGCACTGGCTTTCTGGTGCTTCAGGAAAGACAAAGGAGGTAGCAAGAGCATAGTTTCCTTGTATTTCCTACTGAGAATTTACACACTGCTAAAAAATCCACTGTGCAGGCTCGAAGGGTGAAGACCTTTCCCAAATCTTCGTTCGCGAAGACTGGCCATACTACAGTTAGGCAGCAACCTCAGCTATGACTACAGATGACCCTACCAAAGTGGCAAAAAAAAAAAAAATTATACTGTACAGCACAGGGACTTTTTGGGATGGTGATTCAACAATAATTTTGGACATGATTAATTCATAATATGCTAAAATTTGATGTAACAGTTTATGATTTAAACAAGGCTCAAGTCAAGTCTAACACATGGTCCTTTTTGTCCACTGTGTGATTTCTCGCACCATCTCCTTCATTATCTGGTACTGGTGTCCACCCAAGACAAGTTAGCAAACCAGCCAGATTTAATTCAGTGGGGTTTCTATTGTCTAATAAATGATATTGTCTATTACATGTGCTTTATTTCAATTAGGCAGCCAAGGGCTGAAACAGACACATAACATAAGCTTTTGTACCTTTTTCATGTTTAAAGACACTACAAATTTTAGTATGTTGCTGACGCAGAATCAGAACTGCTGATGCAAAATTGCTTGAGCTAAGCAATTTCAGGAAAAATGAGAGTAGTAAGTGAGCTTAAGGTAGTATTAATGATTTCAAGATGTGACTGTAACATCTAAATTAGAGTGATCTCAAACATACAAGCAGAGAAATTTGCTGCTTCTGATCCTTGTTTTGTTTAAAGACTGTTTGACAGAAACTACCCAGTGAATATCTGTGAGACAGGAGTATTGGGGTGATTCGTTAATGCTTATGAAGTTCTTTGAAAGCACAGGGACAGGCTTTCTAGTCTATGCAAGATGCACATTGAAAAGAATCTGAACAGTGAGGCAACAACACTTGACAGGGTTTTGGCATTCCCAGGAGCACACAGCTGAGCCAGCTAAATTCCCATCCCCCAAGCACCCTCTCTGTGCCAGTATGATCCAGACATATATTCACAGAACCAGCACAGAAACTTGTTGGAACAGCAGAGATGTTTTTTACAGGATAAATCTTTCACTGGTCATCTACTAGCTTTTGACAACTCACCTGGTAACATTAACATTAAAAAATCCCTTCAAGTCATAGGCAATGTGGTGTGGAAGTGTAGCATAATGAGGACAGAAACTGGTCCTCAGCATCTACATTCTGAAAACAAAATTGAGGCCCCTTAATTCTTATCTTCATATTTCCCTCCTGGTCTCAGATTCATGTGCATTACGTCTGTACATTACTTTACTCTTCTCACAGGAGCATTAGAGAGTTCATGTTGGTAATACATCCAAAATACAAGTTGTTTCATTTTGAAAAAATGAAAAACTGTATTTCAGTTTCAGCAATCTTAATTGTAAATGCTCTTTCAGGAGGGATGCTCACAGAGATGCAACGATACCTAAAATGATCAGAAAACTTCAAGCATCCAGAAATGTGAGAAAGAAAAATAATGAGGAACTGAATTAACTTGTACTCTGGTACTTTAATAGCTTGTTTCATCAGGGGAAAAGTACAGCAAATGTACTGTGCAGTTCAGGTAAAGTCTGTTAATGTGTTCACTGCCGAAGTTTTTTGGGTAAAAAAAAAGAAACATTTTATGCAAGGTTTGGTGTTGTAAGCCTTCTTCTGAGCATGGTTTGGTTATACAGTACTTAATAACATGTGGTTTTAATGTAGCTAGTATTTTAACTGAAAATAAATCACTCCTTTGTTGGACCTCTGTCCTCGTTTTTCTAGAATGACATGTGGTTTAAATGTCTAAAAGGAAAAGTGATATAAATTCCATCACATAAGGTCTCTGGTACAGTACCAGCAGGGTTGTAAATTATCTCCAACATTTGAATTATCATGAAAACATGCCAAGGAGAAAGAGAAGTTCTCCAAAACTGTCCACAAACTTGTTCCTAAACAGCCCGATGCTCTAAAGGCCTCCTATTCGTGGATGATCTAATATGCTTTAAAATCAACAATTACCAAATTTATTGGAATATAAAATTCACATTTGAAGTCTTACTTTGTATTTTATAACCATGGAAACATTTTAAAGCTGTTGGGCATTACTATACTTCAGTATGCCGAAAAAAAAAAATGAGGAAAATCTCTTATCAAGTTAACCATCTGAAACTGTGTAAAGTCAAAATATTATTTCCAGTTCCATTTTTTATTTTACCAAGATATTACCACAGGAGAATAATTACAGCACAGAAATGAGGCCCAAACCTGAGAGAGGAAACGTAATAGGGTGATTAAGATAAAAAGAAGACATATAAAAACATTGATACTCAAAATATTAATGACCAATTAAATTATTAATTCAGAGGAGCTAAATCCCTTCCAAATAAAATAAATCACTGAAGACAAAAGAAATTATAATATTTTTTATAACAAATTTTTAAGATTACAACATCTGAACATCTGTCTCTGCGTCCTGGTTGCAATATATTCAAAATCTACTGTATAATTACAGACAAATTTTCCAAAGAAAAAGAATTCAAGATGTTTAAGGACTGGACAGTTGTATAAATAAGAGCTGAAAAAGGATGAGAAAATAAATTTGTGACATGCCTGGGAGAAAAGCTGAAACATAAGCTCACATCAAAATATCAGAAAAGAGACAGTTGTAGGGAAATCTTGTAGCTCTTAACACACATAAGTCATGGGCAAGATCCTAATCCATAAGGAAACAAACCTTTCACATGGCCATTGCTTGTGATCATTCAGCAAAGCCAAATCTGGGACTTGTGCAAAGTCTTTTGAGTGCACCCAGATAGCTCTTGTCTACAGGCCCCTCTGTGCACCTTGCAGTAGTCGAACTAATGAAGATGACTCACACGAACCTCAAATTAGTAGGATGAGTCTAGGCTTATATGGTTTGTCAGAATGGGATTTATCTAAATAAATAAATAAACATATATATATACATCTAAGGGGATACCAGGAAACTCTCACACACATGAATTCAACTTCACTCTTTATCTAGAACAGGAATCATTCAGATCAGGAAGGACCCTGATTATTTTAAAATGAAGACTGAGAATGAAAAATGGTAGGATTTACCTGGTACCTCTGTGCTGATTAATCAGCCCACAGATTTTGATTTTTCATCATGGACCTTGAGCAAAGCAGGCTAAACTCTTTTGAGGTGAGCAATGTCCCTCTGGTAAGAACCTGTGAGTAGAGGGAACTCCAAGGCTGCAAGGTGTTGGAAGGTTGACAAGCACTGTGGAATGCTATAAACGTATTTTTTTTTAAATCTGTTTTTGTTTAAATCTTTGGAACTGTCTAGTGGAAAAATAAGGGCCTTGAATCTGTTACTAGAATTCCCACTTTATTTCACTCCCGAGCTAAAGTATTAAATAAGGGAGCTAGTAGGCTTAAGCTGGAATCTGGTCCATGACCTTGTGAAAAGACCATTAAGTTCTAAGACCTGTTAAAAGCTGGTTGAAATGAGGCCTTATTTGCTTATAGTCATACAATGTGAAGAACTAATTTTGAAGATATGTAATGTATGTCCAGCTGTAATTTGGAATTACGGCAACTCAGTGAGACTTTATCCTCTAAACTCCAGGTAAATGGGCTTTTACATCCCAGAACCTTGTGGGGAATGGGGGAGGGGGGGGGAGGGGGGGACAAAAACAAAACCAAACCAAACCAAAACAAAAACCAAAACAAACAAAAAAAAACCCTCTTATGGTATAGAAACTGAGCAAGAATTTTACCCTAAATCAGCTCTCCAGGACGGTATTAGCTATCAGACTGGTTGGTACAAAGCTCAATGCACTGAAACCCAGTATGCTGGTTAATGTGTTGACTGTACCCTCTGTGACTTAGCACTAGGACTGCAAAGGCAGTCAAAGGTTTGATAAGAAAAACACATCTTGGGGTATATAACTGAAGACAAAAATAGTTGTATGGGAGTGGACAGAAATACACAGAGTTGAGGAGAGTACAGAGTTATAGCTGTTTGGGCAGGTCTTTCTGAATTGCCCTGGTGACAATTTTGGCTTCCAGGGGAGACCACTGAAGAGAAAGCACAAATAAAATATAAAGACATCTTAATTTTGTGCTAAGATTCTATATGCAACAGGGAAGACTTTCACCTATGAAATGAAGTGAATGCTGGTACATTACTGCAGAATCTTCCCAAGATAGCACTAAAGTCAATAGGAAATTTTGGAAACAGAATTAACCTCACAAATAGGACCAGATTGACTTGGAACCAATCTCATTTTATTGGTACTATTTCCAACAGTACAGCACCAAAACCACTGAGCTTCGGGGAAAAAACATCCATCAAATTCAACTCTGCTGGTTAATCCTTCAATAATATATCATATAGAGAGAAGTTTATTACTGCAAAGTAGAAGTTTATCTTTAAAACAATGACACCAACTCATCAAAAGCGTAAGCACCATCTCTAAAGTGACATTCGATACTATTGAATTTACAGCAATTTTGGGACTCTACAGGGAGATCTAAGCCAGATTCTCTCTGCGAAAGTAAACAGCTTGCCAAAAGAATAGATAAATCCCCTGCAAGAGTTTCAATTTAGTTCA